TTGCTGTCAAGCTTGTTCTGTGCGAGATTTGTGGTCAGGGAATTGTGGGTAACTGACCAGGACGTCGTCAGGGTAACAACGGAACAGGGAATCTTGGGTAGAAGTGGGGGAGGCGGGGTTTCCGGGATTGTCACACTTTGTCCTTGTCCTGGAAGATGTACAAGTTGTTAGTAGCGGCTACGGCGATGATGTTTTCTGTGGGATGCCAGGCGGTGTGGAGGATCTTCTTGTTGAAGTCTAGACTGTCCACGCTGATTTCGTCCTTCTTGCGCTTGCCGCCCGTGCACACCCTGCGGGGCTTCAGGATGCACTTTGGTTTCGTGTTCTCCCGCGACGCCTCCAGCGTCAGGTCACGTTTCGTGTTGCGGTCGAACATTCTGAAGAAGTTGTTATAGGAGCCTGTCATGATTTGCCTGCAATGAGAAAATACACTGTAAGTCGTTACTTCATATTGAAACAACTTAAATACATAGGAAACTGGAGATTTCAGACTTCCAGAAAGTATGCAATCCTCAGGTTCCTGACTTCCCCTATGTTGAATACTAATTCCTGTTGGCTCCCAGCCAGCTTCTGAGACCTTCACCTTCTCCCCATTTACTGCCTGCAAATCTGCCCCAAAACCACAGGCTGTGAACCTACTCTGTCTGGACAAACAGATACATGTACAACAAACCCAGAGCTCAGCTCTGCAACTGAGAGATGACTTACGTATCCGTTCCGTTCCAAGCACACTCAAACTTGTCGAAGATACAGTCATTTTCGTACAGTGAGCAGAGCTTGCTACGGAGATACTCATGTACTTGGTATGTCTCGATTGGTCTAGAGTCCATTTGAAGGTCCCAGACCTGAAACAGACATAGGAGTTGTCTGTAAGTACAACATGATAACATGACTGTATCACCATCACACACAAATGGACTATCAGCACTGTTGCCATTAGAACAAGTGACATAAAGCTCTACTGCTATGATCACTGACAGAATTATGGCAGCATTAGTTATAAGTGAAATCATAAACATATCTTAAGCAGACAGGCATAGATGAAGTTTAGAGATAAAGACAGTCTTCCTTTTGAAACTAGTTGTAAAGCTTTTATAAGAGCCATGTGCTTTCAACTACTACATTTGAAACCAACTTTGCCCTTAGTTCTAGTGTGGCTCTGCAAACAGAGGTGGTGGAGGCAGATATGTACACATGAAGAACTAAGGGCGCATAAAACATGCTGGTAGATTAGTAAATGGACATGTAGTTTTTACCCACCTTAACTGACAAGTAGTCCCTAGAGATGAGGTATCTGCCACTATGGGAGAATTTCACGTCGGAAATGGATGAAATAATCTCTGAGAAGAAGGAACGGTTGCTTGGGTCTTCTGGCTCTTCAAACACTGTGGGGGGGGATAACAGGAACATGTCTTCACAACTTCACACAACAGATTCATTTCATTTGCTCATGTGCTAGAAAAGGGTTAGAAAGGGGTCTGACATGCATACACACAAAAATTATACCTGATAATAGGAGCTACTTTGAAGACTGTGGTATGCTATACTTGCACAAGTTCAAATAACATAAAGCAATGACAAGTGTCTGGCCAACATTCCAACAAAACCAAGGGAACCTTACTTTTTGCATGTTGATCGCACAGTGCCCTTTGCCTCATGTCACATAACCTAATGGTGCCTTTGCTACTGCTATAGACAAAGACGTTGCACATGCTGGGGTGGAACTCTGCTGCTGTGATGACTTCTGTCAGCTCCTCCATGTTGGCTGGCTTGATGTCAACAATATCTGGTGGAAAACTGGTTAAGGAATGGTACAGTGTATGTGGTTTCAAATGAGTAGGCTGTCATATTGTGCTACAATCAACACTCATAGGAATCAAAGGATAAATACACTACAGTCTACACTTTACTTCAAGAATTTTAAAAATCATGTAGGAAGCACACACACGGAAATGGAAGTAAAAATAGTTCTCACAGTTGATGTATGTACTTATGCTCCTACATGCAGTTCTTTGAATCACTCCTTCTTTCAGGTGTAAATCACTTCTTTACAACTGTATCTTTTCAACTAAAAAGTCGTGCTTACCAATACCATACATTCACATGAAATTCATAACTACAGGAAAGGGGGCCATGATATAGCAGTGTAAAATTTCATGGTCCACCTTATCCAAGCAAGGAAACAAGTGTCACACATCATTTCTGAGAAAAGGATACTAAAACTTCGGTCTGTGATTTCTAGATGCCAGAGGTTGATTCTGAGGTCGTCTCCAGACAGGAAGGTTTCATGGTCACTATTTAGAGATATGGAGTTTATGTGGTACGTGTGCGCATTGGCGTACACCCGGCGGGGACTGGCTTCTACTATCAACTCTGTGGGCTTGAAGAACGGTACCTGAAACACAAGGATTTTACGGTTAACAGTGTGAAATTTTCATAACTTCAAAACCAAAGTTAACATTATATATGGGTATTTTACAGGCAGAAAGAGAATTTCTTCATTTTTATGTTGTCTTCGCATTGCACTATTAGTTGATAAAAAACCAGAATAAGAAAGTAAATGCCCAATACAGCATGGGTGAATTGTGCAAAGGTACTTACACTAGTAGGGCAAAAAAACGCTATTTTAACGCTAACGGACAAATGCGTTTCCAGTTTATCGCTTCTCAGGAAGCATTGTTCTAAAAACTACGCTTAGCTATCGCTTCTTTATCGGTTCTCAAACGCTCCTTTAACGCTCCCTTAACGCTACTTTCTGTTATGATTCCCCTTTGTTTCAAAAACACATCCCTTAATCAGCTGTGAAAACTCGCGCGTCTACGAGAATCACGCCCCGCACCGCGTTCCCGGGCCGACCGGCGAGTGACACGCGGCCGGCCAAAGCCCTTTGATTCGAAGTGGCACAAAGCCACCAAACAGCTTATGCGTGGAGTCAGCGTTTGCTTTCTCCACGTATGATTCCGTGTTTTCCTTGGTACGTCAAAGGAGCTTGAAATC